CCCTTAGTGACGCACTTTACTGAAGGTCCAAACTTCCAAAACTGCCGCAACACAAACCTGCCGCAACTCGGCTTGCCACTCCGTAAAACGGAAACTCCACAAACTTCCAAAACTGGCTGGCCTCTACACAATCCAAACTGCTGCGGTAACTCGCCGAAGCGAAATAAACAATCTTCACTCAATTCAAAAACTGCCCTGACTGGCAACAAAACTGACGATTAAAACTTCACAACTCCAAAACAAACTTCAAACTACTGCAGACGTGGATCTGCTCTCAACTTGGCAAAAGGCGATTTAAATTTTCAAACAAACGTAGTTCTGCGTTGACAGTGGCAAAAAGCGATTTAAATTTTCAAACAATGAAACGTAGTTCTGCGTTGACTCTGGCAAAAAAACGATTTAAATTTCAAACAAACGTAGTTCGCTGCGTTGACAGTGGCAAAAAGCCCTTCCTCTTCTCCTTCCATTCTATTTAAGGTGGAAACCCTTCTTCCAAATTACAAATTAAAACAGCCAATGATAAGCAGTTGACAACAGAAAATTTCCCCCCTAACGTAAGTTAAACCAGAGGTAGAAATTATTTTTATAATCAATTTTTAATCGACATTAAGAGATAACACAAAATTAAAATACTAGGAAAAATAGAATTTTCTATCTTTTAAATACTATGAAAAGGCGATAAATAACATCCACCTGTCAATTAAATTAAGCGTTTACAATGATAACAGAATAAAAGCGATATAAAATTCTCAGAAATCTACGTTAAATAAAATCAAAGATGAGATTAAAATGTAAACAATACAAACCTTGACCTCTTTTTCGTAACAATAATTTCTGTTGAAGTACTTAACGAACGACACAAAACAAAAATTTAGAATTAGAAAATTAATTACATAAAAAATAGGAAACCGCCCTTGTCCATTCTACTTACGATTCCCAAAATTTCGTCCTGCTAGACAAAATATTACAGCATTTAGTTCCGACCGTTTCCGGCCAGGGGGGCTATGGTTTTCCGATTCACCGGATTTTTTACATAGGATACTCTTGGTTTCGTTGAGTGAAATTACAACATCCACTTTAAACTACTTTTAAAGCTAATTTGACTGGACTAAAATAATACAGTACGAGAACACAAGTAATTTGAAATGAATATAATTTTAAAGATATACTGCTCTCGTTCAAAACAAAAAGGATAGCAAGATCCGAGATAGACATTGAGAAATGTAAAATTGGTTCACCCTCGCTTCTTATTTGCCACCAACCTATTATCAAAAAATATGAAATACAGCGGCAAACTGATAATTAAAGAAATATATTGATTTAGCTGTACGTAATTATTTGCAGCTTTAACTTCGTTAAATGAACGTATTTACTTTGGCCGTTTTAATTATAAACCCACTTAAATTTGTAAAATAAGCGCGGATTTTAAATTCAAAGGACGTTTTTTTTTACAAATTGGATAAATCAATTACCGCTTGCAAAGCAAGACAAACACGGCATTCATCGATCGGCTTATATTTTTTGTTAATTAGTGCGATTGCCATATCACGTCAAATTTATGCATTTATCTATTTGATCATCATAGTCTCTGTTGGATTAATGTCGATAGTTGCGGATTAACGCTGTCTCACGCAAACAGAAAGCGGTAAAATACCAATTTTGTAAACGAGTCTGGATCTACTGAAAAATTAATATGGCAAACTTTACTCGTGGCACGTAAAAATAAATAATGTAACGTGGGTTAGTTTTTATTGTTATTGCTGATCGTGTACGCTTGGGTCGGTTACGGTGAAGATTTTTACTTGTCTGTTGTATGAAAACAGACTATTGCAAGATCCCAAAACATCTTCAACATTACATGTTATAAATTAGTTTCAAGTCACATAAAATAATTTGTTCGAATTGGATTCAGTGTAGTGTGTAATTAATTACAACAAATTGATATTAGACATTATTATATTATTATTATACCAGAAAAACTAACTGAATTTGACTCTTGCGCAAACCCAATTCTTTCACAAAAATAAAATGTGCTCTTGTTCTACTTTGTCCGTTCGTCTGTCTTTATCTTAAGAGAGACTATCTGATAAAGTGCATTTAGTTACCTCTCCATCGGGACGAACAAAATAGTATATTAAGTATGGAGAACGGTAAGGGATTTTTACCGTTCGAAGACAATTGTTTGGAGGAGGAGCGAAGCGACGACTCCAATTATTGTCTGAGAACGGTACCCTTAACGTTCGACGTGCTTATAACATTTTTTGCGCGATCGAAATTAAAATTATGCAACCAATATAAATATGCACTAAGAAATTAACGAGCAGAATAAATCGAAGGGATAGAAGTGATATGGTGTACATCACTAGGTAACCAGTTTATTTGTCAAAATTGAAATTAATAATTTCATAAAATTGTGCATGTGTCTGATGTAGTTTGCTACTGCACTTCCTTTATGACTTTATGAGCGAGGTATTCGCCGGTGGCCGAATGGTATGTCGAAGATTCTTTACAGAACAAGATTGTAATTGGAATGTGTTAAGAAAAACGAAAGCACATCTTCAAACACATTGATCTCTATTGCTTCAGGTTTAAATGAAGAACGTGTTCTTTCTATAGGAAACAGCACAAATTGTACGTATAATGTAACAATAATTAAAGATTAAATGTAATGTAAGACTGTTGATTTTGAACCGATTGTTTTTAAAAAGGCGTCGGTAAGTATTCTTGCTGTTCTGTTTTTAGATCGGTAAGTAATTTTGGCGTCGTCGTAGTCATAGCAACTGGTAAATTCTACGTACTGTCATGGTAAATAGTCAGAAATGACCGATCGCGCAAAAAAATTATTTTAAATCTCACTACTAAATCGTAAACCAACACGCAAATATTTTTTAATTACATGGGACCACCAAACTTGAGAATTTTCTTAGAATCTCTCCAAACTAATTCCCACTCAATCTTTGATAATTAAACACGGATTGCGGATTGATAATGAGGGCGGAAATTAATTAATTTCCATTGGTTACATTTTTTAGTTATACCAATCCCTACTAGTTTTAGGTTCGTTAATTATTTCAAAAAACTTTACTCGGTCAGCGGTTTTTACGGTAGCTTTGTCCTGAATGCTGCAGAAGAGACGGACTTCATTTCCAACAAGGACTCAAATTTTATTAGTGAAATTCCACCACAAGATTCTCGGATCGGACAAACTAACTACCTAAATTTATTTTGAGACCTGACAATTTTTAATAATATTGAAAGCTCAAGCAGAACAACCATTAACCTATCTATCACTTTTACAACAAAAATGCGAGAAACATTTACAAAAATTTAAATCCGTTTTTGGTGGTGGATATTGAAACATAGCCGTTTGTTTTGGTGTTTGGCGTACTGCCCTATTTGAGCGTTTTTGAAAATACTGGCTGTCTTGTTATGTTGAAGAAAGCTGGATAGTTTTTTACAGAATTTTCTTTACATCGTGATAAAAGTGAAGCGTGATTTCCCGTTTACGAAGAAGTTTAGTCGGAGTGCTGTGGTTATCCAGCATTTGTCGCTGAAGAGAAGCCTTTCTGTAAGGTTTTCAAGTTATCAGTTTGTTGTAACTAAGCACCTGATTTCATACTCGAAGCTTTGACCGCACCGTATATTTGTGAATTGGGGAATCGACCAGCTTTGCTGAACACCCAGTATCTCGAAGCGTCATAAATTAGGCGCTTCAATACTAAGGAGTTTCTAAATTTACTCTTTTGCCTTACCGCCGATAAGGTAAATCGATCCTTTTTTTAACCTTTCCTGTAGGAATATTTAAATTGTTTCTACAGCCGCCTAAAGATCTCTTGCTAAAGAAGAAGGGGGCACATTAACATTTGAGAATTTCCGACATGATAAGCCGTTCTAGCAGGTTTTATATTCTATGGTAAATTTAAAACGAGCATTAAAAGCCGCAAGATCAGGCACTTTGCTTTGTTATCGCTCTGCGATTGACTCGAAATTCCAGGTAACTATGGGCAGTACTGGAAATTTCAAAAAGTGAGGCTAAATACCGGTAGCTAGTTTTTATCTGTTGCAGCAAACTTCGTCCGATTAGATTGGGCCGGGTGTCATTGGAAGTGCGCTTAATTAGATTCAATTTTGATATCAATTCCAGATTTCTAGGACAGCAGCAGACCGCACAATTAATTAAAGAAGTTTTTATTTTCGAGCTTTTCGCAACGACATGCCGATCGATTTGGGATTTCCAACATTTCCCTCTCTGCAAAAGCCGAATTTTTACAAGGTAAAGCCGATGTTTAGGGGGGATCTTTTTGCTTTTGGCGTTTCACCGAATAGTAAGTAAATGTTATTTTTCGTAATCATATTTAAATCTTTTGCCTTCTGCACTTCCACCAATTACATTTCTTTGCATCCGTACCGTTTCATGTTACTTTGCAGTTACCGCACCGTATTCATTGGAATTGGCTTTTAGCGAACTTTTGCTACCGCTCTGTTCATTTGAAGGTGATCTTTTTGTTATTCATGGATATTGTTCGCTTTCCCGCATTTGTTTTTCCGCCAATTTGTGTTTTGTTGCTTTCAAGCCCACTAGAGAATTTGCCGTTATTTTGTTTTTAGTAAAATTAACAAAAGTTAGTCGCGTAGTCATTCTTGCTTGCTGGAAACCTATCATTTCAAATATTGCGAAAAACCGCATATTTAGATGCGATGACACAAAAGATACATAAAAGATCTCACCAGTTAGATGTTTTGCATTTTCGCATATGATATAACAATGTCTGGGTATAACCATCAACAATATTACTGGGAGGAGTCGCGTCTACGTTCAACTCATACAGTCATACCTCGCCTCGTACTCATCCAATATGCAAGGTCGATGCTAATTATTGTAACATTCAATTAAATGCACATGCAGATATTTAAGCGTACGCACCAAAGATTGCATATACCTAGTCAGATTTGTGCGACACTCTTACGGAATATTATGATTAAATGCGAAGAAATGGCTTACCTTTTAGGAGCGTGTAAGTTAACGAGGTTACTCCGAGTCTTCTGTAAAAAAAGAGAATGCATTAAATTTTCAAATGCTGTGTACATAAAACAGGTCTATATAAAAGACACTCAAAGCCTATCTCGAAAAGAAGGTTTTATATCCAAAAAGTGAGATCTTTTATAATGTCGAGAGAGGAGGCTTTGGCTAATAGCCTTTTTGTTTCGTCTAAAACTTCATCGTTGGTAAAATAAATAACAGGATCTCTCGTAAGTAAGTTTACGTCAATTTGTCATTTGCCGTACGAAAACATTTATCCAACGTCGCATGTATAATGCGGGCACGGAAACCGTGTCGAGCCAAAAAAGTGTAACTATAAGATCGATAAAGGAAGGGGAAATATCATGTCCTCAACTCGAGTGATAAACTACAAGAAGTTACACTCATGTTCTTCCTCACGACTCGTTAATTCCAATTTATGTAGGATGCCTGCTCTTAAAGTGAATATAGGTGATAGAATTTTTTGCATTTTTATGAGGGTAAAAACGCGAAAAAGTTTTAAGAATATAATCCAACATTTTCAAGACATTCGTAAATTCCCAGCCCACAATTGCCGGAAAATTCGGTGAATATTAATTCACGACTTTCGTGATGGTTGAACAATAGCACATGCTATCGTCCATTTTTTCGCTTCTTTTGCGTAATTCAAAGGTCGCGACATGCGACATCGAAGAGACTCCACCAGAAGAGTTTCGCGTTATCCCTTAAGTAAGCAAAGATAAAGGGCAGGATACACCCTACAACAAATAACTGACTCTAAATGATTGGGCGTTTCCGAAATACATATCCGATAGCACTTTTGTGCGACATCCCCTTCATCGTATTTCATTGTAATTACGTTAGTTCAAAATGGGGAATCTGTTGTATTTTATTATAAAAGATTCATCGAGACAATGGGCAGACTGTGGGAGGACAAAACTTTCAATGGAAGGGTAAATTATATTAGTTGCTGAGAGATTAATAGCGAGAGAAAGCAGAGTTCATATATAAATTAAATCATCGTCGTAAAAAACGGACTGAATATACGTCCCCATACAAACAAAGGGTTAAATTGACCTTCGGAGAAATTCAATTACGTTTCTCGTGAACACGACTAACCACGTAAAATAAGGGGATTACTTTATCTTTCCTTAGAGAAAAAGTTATGAAATGTGTCGTTTATATTTTAATTAAATACTAACTAGTAAGGGTAGAATGTTCGGTGTGGCATGGACACGCATTGGTTGGTTGAGGGATGGGACTTTATTTGTATACCTGTAAACTGGGTCAATTAGAGTAGAACGTTTTTCAGCATAACTGGCCCGTGGCTTACTCAATCATTCCATTGAACATTAACCGTCTATTACACGTTACTACAAAGGAACTTCCGACGGTTTAACTTCATAAACCGCACAGAATCCTCAAAGCAACATACATAACACCAATCAAAGAATTAGAAATGCCAGTAGTAGGTAAATTAAAGGCCTGGGGCTTTATTTCCCACATCACATCCCGATTACCCCAGCTTTGATAAGCATTCAATGCGCATATGTGTAAATGTAGGTACGCGTCCAGTGGCGATAGTTGATCAATTCTTATATTTGTAGGGCGGTCATTGGTGGCCTACGAAGCCGAAATCCCCGTAAGTGCATGCAATGATGGGTGCCTAAGGATCACTCACGGGATTGCCTAACCAATTTGCGGTGGTTGAGGTAGAGGAGTACGAGTATGTAAATCTATTAAATCATTCAATTCGTTTTACGGAAAATGATATATGTATGCTGCAATAAAAGTCCGGAATGAATACTAAATACGCCAGGCTTGGAAACAACTTTCTTAGTGGTGAGAAAAGATTCACTTGAGAAGATTTCTATTGAAGACAAGGCAAGAATACTCGGAAACTCAGTTTTTGAACAGGATTGAAGTTTGAAAATGCGTAAAGGTCTCGAAGTCCTAGCTAGATTTTAAGAATATTCTAAAACTCCCTTCTCTCACAGAAAAGGGGCGACGGTAATCATTTTGTTTGTAACAACTGCGGAGGACCACATGCACGTAGCCAATGTTTCTTTCTCGACAAAAATCCTAAAACTTGTAAAAAAAGGGCATATCAGCCGATGGAGATTTTCTGGATTAATTCGGAAAGGTAGGCATCATTGAAGATAGCAAGCCAGCAGATCGTCGCATGATTTAAGTTCTCACCGACGGGCCCAAATTGAAGATGGAGCTCGACACTGGCGCACCATGTGCCATAATCAGTGAGAAAACTCTCCGCACTATCAAACCTCGATTTGCATTGGAGAATTACGATGGGCAGTTTTCTAGTTATACGTGGCATAGAATCAATTACCTTGGCGACTCCCTGTACACGTAACGATTGGAAGAAAAACGCGAAGACTTAATATTTATGTTATCGAGGGTGATTTTGATATCCTTTTAGGTCGAAAGTGGATCACAAAAGCTCTGAAAGTAATGTGAAGCCCAGTTTCTATACAGAGGTAAACCTAATATTTACCACCTATATTTAGCATGACCATAGAGTGGTTATAGTATAAAAAATTACAACATTGAATACTCCATTATGCGGTTTCATTGTCAATTCACGATAACTAACACAGCGCGACCCTTTGCGTGGTACAACACTGACCACTAAACATTAGTCTTGCATTCCATAGCAATTTAAAACTCCCTTTTTATGAAAAGAGGTAGGTATAATGGCATAATTATTGCCATTTGAACTCAAAAAGGCGGCAATAATAATATAGAACAAAGCCACGAATTAAAGCTATATAATTGTTATTCAGAACGCAAACAAAGGCTCGGTTCTTTTTAGATTGCTTAAAGAGTTCAAACGTGTAACCGTTTTAAAGGGAACTCTAGCATAATGTGTTTTTAATCTTAATATTTTTAATCAAGTCAAAAGTGTTAAATATGAAAGGAAAGCGAGAGACTAACGATTAAAAGAAAGGACTCCTATTTTGTAAGGATTTTCCATTGCGAGGGTTATTGTCTTCATAAATTAATTAAAGATGGCTGATGCTTTCGAAGTACATAATGCTGTTAAACGATATGCATTCGTAGCTCTTATGTACGGAGTAAAAGCTCTAAAATGTCAAAGCTTTCAAAGTTCCTTCTTCAGAGCATTGAAAGAAAAGTTTAACAAAAAAACACGCCAAAGATGGTAATTATAAACAGGTCTTCTGTAATTAATTTCATGTAATTACCATCAGCATCAAATATCGAGAGAAGATGATTGTAGGATATCGTACGAAAGTGCATTACATTAGTTCAATTATGTAGCTAATTTCTACACTCCATCTCCATTATTCGATTGTCATTATTTTGAAGTATGACAATTAGGTGTGTACACTGTACAGGGTATCTAAGAAAAAATGGCGGCTGGAACCTTACCAATAGCACCAATCAATCACGACTATTATATGTCAACAACTGTGTTTAATATCACACAATCCACTCACTGGATAATAACTTCCTAACGCAAGCTAAAAGGATATTTCCCATTTTCGAAAGGGGGGGGGGTAAAACAGGTTCTACCATTCATGGTATTCTAATGAAAGGTCTCATCAAAATAAATTGGCTTGTACAAACTATAACTTTCCCGTGCGACTCATTTTCGAGATCAGTGAGTGACGGGGCATGGGGCGGGGTGGGGTGGGGGGGGGGTTAAAAAGTAATATTTATCTCTCATTGTATTCTAATTAAAGCTCTTAACGAAAGGAACCGTTTTCTACCAACTACTGCCCTTGTTTGTGTCCTCTTATCAAAGTGTGGGGTGGAGGCAGGGACCCGGACCCAAATGAAATATCGGTTCCAGTTCTGTTTATATTTAACCGAAAATATTTATAACGGTTCCGGTCCGGTTTCGGTTCTAAAAAGAAATAACGGTTCGGTTCTATGCATTTTTTCGGTCCATAACGGTTATTTTCGGTTCTAGTTTTTCAGAAAGTATGGCATTCAAAAAATTCATTATAACAACATGATTTGTTAATTAATAGGTGTGAAGAAAAAGTCTGGAATACCAAAACGTGACGTATCGTCAGTGTAGCTAATTTATAACGACAAGGGGAATAAAGGAGGAAGAGGGAAATATGTATTTACACTTAATTTACTACTAAAAAACAGGAAATTTTATTTTCTAAAACCTCGCCCCTCCTTTTTTATTTTTTTTAAGTAGTGGCTAAATTAGCGCTACCGCCACCCGTAATGCCTTCAATTTCGACACCTTATCAAAAATTTATAATCCACCGATGGCAATCATAGAAAGAATTAATTTCTACCAACCATAGCCCTTCTCCTCGACCTCTTATCGTGATCGGGTATATTCAAGTTGCCATCTGCACACGAATATCTAAATAAAAATATAAAAGCCATTATGTAGGTACTCATATGTGTAATGCTAGGCAATATTTAAATTTAGAAATATTGCCGCAGACGTCTTATTCAAATTAGCACGCCCAGACGGTGGATGTTTTACAAATAAAAGCAAAGTGAAACGCAATAAATTATGTATAGGGACGCTATATAAATTTGTTAAGTTGTACGCATTAAAGATTAAAGTAGTTGTAGGGGTGTGGAAACTTTGATTTTATGAGAGCAATTCGGAATAACGAGCAAAGTATAATACTAAACAAACTAGAAACATTAAATTTGGCGCTCTAGGAACTTTTATTAAAACCTATAATGTTTCGAAAGCAATTTGGGTTTGTAGTAAAAAGGATGGAAATGCATTAACGCATCAATTACTTTCAAGCGATATGAGTACGGCCGCTCACGAAGCAATTGCATTTTCCGGGACTCTTTTATTAAACTAATAAACAAGATGTAATGGAATTATCGGTCCAACTTACTGTAGGATGCGGCAATGATGAGCACTACACCGCGAGCTAACCGCAGGCTTATATCCTCGACACTTCGTGTCAAGTGTGCTTTTTTCAACGGTTTTAGATGTTAAAGGACGGAGTTGTTTAAATTAAAGAGGCGAAAAGCTGACATGTGTTGACGGTAA